GAGAATAAATCACCACAGAGGTCCCGAACATGAAATAGATCGTCACAGTGCTTCCAGACCTGAGAATAAATCACCACAGAGGTCCCGAACCTGAATTAGATCGTCACAGTGGTCCCGGACCTGAGAATAAATCACCGCAGTGAAACAGGTGTCACCGGGCCCATACCGTACCTGAAGCACGTCAGACACTGTAGGACGTAGTCATTCCGTAACATCCCTCGTACCCGCACCGAACCAACCATCATAGTGACCCAAGGTAGCACTTGTCCATGCGTCTCCCGCTCTCAGAACATCCCAACTGCGGTAGTGTTAGTAATCAAGCAAACCAGCGAAAGCGACGCAGGGAACCTCGACCATCGGCAGTATTGAAAACTGTTAAAATCCGGGGAAAATGTTCAATCCGGGGTCAAGGCAGATGGCGGGTAATCGAGGCGAAATTAGGCGAATCTCCGAATAATCATGGGTTCCCGTCCCTTTCATCGTTTTTCATCATTCTTCCCTTTCCTTAATTCTATTGTCGGAAATAGTGAATCAACTGTAAGTTCCCTAAAATTAAATTCCGAGAAAGTTTAAATAAATGGCCGAATTCCTTCTGTTTCTTTTCTCTTTTACCATTTTTAATCTCTTTCTATGTTTTTAATTTCTTTGCCGGGAACATAAAATAACAAGAGTATTCCCCCTAAAATTAAATGCCGTGAAAAATAAAGAAATTATGGGATATTATGTTTTTTCCCTTCTTCCCTACCGGTCTTAATCCTTTACCCGCTCTTTAATTTTGGTACTAAAATAGACAAAAAATTGAGGCCTCTTTTCGGCCCCAGTCGTATTGCTGCAAAAACGTTGTAGCGAGGTCAGTTCCCGCGATGCCTCTTCGCGACAGGCCAATCCGGGTCTAACCTTCCGAACGACTGGAAATAGTGGTCTCTAGATATGCCGAGTGCGCCTACCCATCTCACCGTCTTTGAGGGTTAGTCGTAAGGTTCAGTGTGCCCAAAATCAGGGGTGCCCTGAGTTCCCCTTATTTTTTCTGCCTGGTCATACCAGAGTACCGTCAAAACACGGACTTGTCCCTGGGCCTAAGTCCCAAAACCGCAGATTTCAGGCGGCGCACTGCTTGTGGCTGCCTGACACCGGATCGTCTTTTCCACATCGGCATCAAATTGGAGAAGAAGGGGTGCTGGCATCCAGTTGGAGAAAAAGGGGTGGTGGAATGAAATGTGGAGAAGAAGGGGTGCTGGCATGGAAGAAGAAGGGGGTTCTGGCATCAAATTGGGAAATAGAGAAGAAGGGGGTTCTGGGCCTACTGGTATCAGATTGGGAATTGGAGAAGAAGGGTTGTTGGCATCGAATAGGAAATTGGAGAAGAAGGGGTTTCTGACACTAAATTGGAAATTGGAGGTGAGCTACACCGACAAAACTACCGACAATGTACGACCATAGTAACCAGCCAGGGGAGGTCACCTGGATGATGGTGTCTGCGTGGGTGCTGCTACCTGCGGAGGATCTCACGGATATCAAGTGTTGACGAGTAAGTTCTTGCTGCAACCGTCGTGGGTTGGACGAATGTCATGACCAGTATGGCTTCAGTTTTGAACACCGGGTCATGTGCTTGGTTAAGGTCTGGTCGGTGCTGTGAGTTACCCCTCACGTGCAGCGGGGTTGAGTAGAGTCTGGGTACACTGGGTCATGGATGAATTTCCATGCTGGGGTGGGGTGAAATGTCCCTCAAGGGGCTTCACTTTCATCCCAGATCACTTACCAATTGAATAAGTGATACACCTCTTTGGTGGCAGGTCATAGTTTCAATTCCAAGTGACTTGATCTTGGACTTCTTGTATGTTAAACAAGCACTTTGAGCTGGTCAGACTCCCTTGCGGCACTGCTTGGTTGAGGTCTGGTCGGTGTTGTGAGTTACCCCTCTTGTGCAATAGGGTTGAGTAGACCCTGGGTACACCGGGTCATGGATGAATTTCCGTGTTGGGGTGGGGTGAAATGTCCCTCACTGGGCTTCTACAATAACCCATGCCATATGTCTCGTGGAACTGAGGGCCATCAGAAAGCCTACTTGGCCGCCCTCAGCCCAGGCCAAATAAGGGCAGAAAAAGGCCCTACACAATTTCAGGGCCTAGGCGTGTGACAGTTGACTTCGGTCACTGCCTGTCCACCCAACAGTCAAAGTCCAAAGGTACCTAGCCCATGCCGCAGGTCCAGCACACACGTTTGTATGCAGGTACCCAAACAACATCAGGTCCGAGGGAGAAGTCTGCAACTATACAGTCCAGGCCTTGAGATGTGAGTCAATCTAGACGACTGGAGAAAAGGCACCCGAGGCCAGACAACCTCGACGACTGCTACATAAGGCTGGCCTCGACCAAGTCCCGCATTCAGTCTTGCTATGCTGGTTCGACGCTGGCTTGACTTTGACTAGACGCTGGCATTATGCTAGCGCGACGCTGGCTAGACGCTGGCTGTGCATCAGTGCTGCGGACGACGACACGAGGTGGAGACAGCATGGTGGCATTGTATGCCAGGCTTGCTGAGGTGGCATGCTGACGTGGCGCTGCCTCTGGTCTTCATGGCATGCTGATGTGGCGCTGCCTCTGGTCTTCATGGCATGCTGATGTGGCGCTGCCTCTGGTCTTCATGGCA